TGCCACTACAGGACTTTGGTTGCAACAATGATCTATATGGTCCCAGTTTATGTCAATAACGTCACACAAGACACGAGAAGTAATTCTTCCACTCTACTCCGCGCTGATTAGGCCTCAACTGGATATTGTGTCCAGTTCTGGACGACACATGTCACGAAGGATGTGGACAGATTGGAGAGAGTCCAGAGAGGAGCAACAAAAAGGTCTAGAAAACATGACCTATGAGGAAAGATTGACAAAATTGGGTTTGTTTAGTCTGGAAAAGAGAAGACTAAGAGGAGACATGATAACAGTTTTCAAGTACATAAAAGGTTGTTACAAGGAGGAAGAAGAAAAATTGTTGTTCTTAACCTCTGAGGATAGGCCAAGAAGCAATGGGCTTAAATTGCAGCACGGGAGGCTTAGGTTGGACATTAGGAAAAATTTTCCTGTCAGGGTGGTTAAGCACTGGAATAAATTGCCGAGGGAGGTTGTGGAATCTCCATCATTGGGGATTTTTAAGAGCAGGTTGGACAAACACCTGTCAGGAATGGTCTAGATAATTAGCCCTGCCATGAGTGCAGGGGACTGGACTAGACGACCTCTCCAGGTCCCTTCCAGTTCTATGATTCTATGCTTGTGCTATTCTTTTATAATCCGCTTTAGCAATTCATCCCTGTTTCCACTTTTTGTAGGATTCCCAATTAACATCCCCTATGGAATGACACACCCCAAGGCTCCCGCCACACCCAGCCCCTTTTCTCACCTCACCAGACCAGGCAGCAGAAGGGCCAGGGCTCTCACCTTGGGTTGCCGACACCCGGACTCTGCCACTGCAATCACATGGGGGTCGCTCTTGGGGGGCAGTGTATCTATGACAGCGCAGGCCGCTGAACCCCTCAGCACATACTGCAACCGAAGAGGAGAGGGTGCTCAGCAGACCGCTGCAGGCCATAGGCTGGGCGAACAGATCTAGCCCATGGCACCCACCCAGCCCCCAACAGCCTTCACAGAGTGGAGCAAGAGTTGCACAAATGGGCTAACAGACTCATCCTACACTGGCACTGGGACAAAGGGCATGCTAGGCCTGACTTGCACCCCTGATGCAATGGCCCCATGGGGCTCTGTAGAGGTACAGAATCAGCAGGGCATAGGACTTCCCCAGCCATGCCTCCTTCCTCTCCCTCCCCCCAATCCCCAGCTCCCACCCTGTCTCTGTCCTCCCGCCACCCTGTCTCTGCCCTGCCCCCAGCCTGCCCTGGAGCACGCCCTGTGCCAGAGGCTGGGATACAGGCAATGCAGCGGCCCCCCTGCACCAGGCTTATTCCCAGTTTACCTGCTCTGCAGCCCAACAGTGAAGCTAGGGCTGGGGGGAAACTGAGGCACTGATTGATGGGCTTGACTGACCCAAGTCACACAGCAGATCAGTGGCAGAGCTAGAACTAGAACCCAGGTCTGCTGAGTCCCCAGGCCCGCTCCTCCCCCACCCTGCACCAACACCCGGGCACTCCCCTTGCCTGGGTGCCAGTGACTCGGCAAGGAGCCAGGCAGGGTACGATCAGGCCCGCAATGCCTTGCTCTCCACACGAGGCCCTGCTACCACTTT